TGAATGCTATCTGGAAGTACGTAAAATTAGCGCTGATAGCAGGGGATTTGGAGGTTTCTGCTAAATATTAGATTCTAAAAAGAACCAGGCTGCTTATTAAGTTATAGATGCTATCACTTGCCTGCAAAAGCACAACTGTAAACAGGAAGATTGGTTTCAGCTCACAGCATGGTTGAAGTTTTGAGACAGAACGAGCAGCCTTCTACTTACAGGAATGGTCAGATTTATACAATTTATGCAATTTTCCCCAGATGCAGTCAATCAGCCAAAGCTTGTTTGGTTTCCAAATTTTGCCTCTGTAGTTTAGTGCTGCAGCTACAACTAGCATTGCTAACAAGCACTAGATGTAATGTCCTGGCCTCGTGAGCTGTTAGGGGGAGACAGGGCACCACTAATGGTTAATTAGGGCTGAGCGGTAGTTAGGGGTGCTCACACGCTGCTTTCTGCTCAGTCTTGAGTTCATGCTGCTATGTGCACTACTCAGACTAAGCCAGTAATTTCAGTGTTAGTTCATCTCTCAAGTCTCAAGTTCTGGTTTCTTGAGTCTCTCTCAGCATAAGTATAAAAAAGTGCCCTTTTGGTTTTTTTTAAACTCTCTTTAGTTTGAAGATGCTGCTCTGGAGTTTCTTTTGTGTGGCCTTAACCTCCCCTCTTTTGTTTATCAACCCTCCTACGAAGCACTTAGTAGTGTTGCTGTGATAGCTCAGGGATAACACAGTTGTCTCACTTGGTGAGAACTCGTTTATCTTCTTTTCTATGCTCTCAAGTCTGTACTGCTCTGCAGTCCACCTCTTGTGCTTACCCCATAGCATTCTGGTTTCTGAACAAGGGAACCACCATTTTGATCCCTGCTGGGGGTAAGCCAGCCGTCGCACTACATTAGAAGTCAGTAGTCTCCCAAATCTTTTCCAAGAACATCCCCAAAACTGCTCTCAACCAGCCCAGACCGCATCCTGGTTTTTATGAAGGTACCACTTACTGTAAACTTTAAAAATGAACAAAACTTCACTGTATAGCTGAATGCTGCGGGCAGTCAGTTAATACAACAGGTGTTGTGCCAAATTCCTACACCCTTTATTTCATACATGAGTACTTTTGTGATTTCTGTCGTTTCTGTTTATGAACATATGTCTTCAGTTAGAAAGTTCAAAATTAGCAGTTACTTATGAAAAGTAAGCAGAAATCATCAATGTAATTTATCCTTATCCCTGCATCAGAATTTAACACAACACCTGATGTCTAAACAGGCTACCCAATGTGTGTGTCAGCTACACAGTGAAATTTTGCTCACAATTATAGTTGACAGCAAGTCATACTGCATTCTAAATGACACATTCACACATCTGTGATACCTTAATGAAGACTTGGATATGGTTTGAGTGGGTTGAGAGAGGTTTTAGGGCTGTATTAACAGAAAAGATTTGGGTGACTATTAACTCCTAGTGTTTGTAAGCAACTGTAGCCTCATATCTCTATCGCTGTCTTGTTAAAATACTGCTTATAATCACTGATGCTGAACGCCACCGTCCACAGCAGCTGCAATTAGAGAGGCTAATTTTAAACCCGGCTGTGGCAAGAGACCAAAAGCAGACGGGCAGATGGAGGGGCAGTCTAATAGTATCTCACCTGCTGCAGAAGAGCTGTTTCTCTCACAGTGCACTTCAGCAGCACCCAGGAATGCTTGGGGATTTATGAATTTTGATTATTTGTTTGGCTGGAATGTGAGAAATTGCTGTTGGAAATCATAGCACATTCGAATGCAAAGAGGCTTAAGGAAAAGTTCAGCTCCACCTGTTGTGAATCTTTGCTTTATATGTACATAGTCGAGTATTTTTAATCCATCATATTTCTGTTTAATTTCTGAATTCACAATCAACTTGATTTATGCTCTATGTGTAAACAAACAGAGCCCATTACACAAAAATGACCCTAAAGGCCCAGCCAGAGAAGGTCGCTTTCACACCTCATAGCATTGATTTCCAAAAGTCAAAGCCAACGAACTTGATTACTCATGATCGATATCATCTATTTCTTTTTGTTTACACATATAACATAAGCCTTTTTGCCTCTGCAATATATTTCTGACTGAAACACAGGATCTCTAAACTAGCTGAGCATTTCACCCTATGATAAGTGAGGGTGGTGAGAGGGGGAGGTGAAACATGATATTTTTGGTTAATATTTTCCCCACCCACTTGTACATGGTGATGTAATCACCCTTCATTCAAAGATAATTGGAAAACAAGAATTTTGTCTTTTAAAGGGGCATCTTGGCCTAAAATTAGAGTTTAATATGTTGTCATGTTGTTCAGAATTCTATCGCAGCATCGATTTTACACAACTCACAACTGTGTTTCTTTTTCATGTTTTTGTTCATCAGTTTTCTCTCACTACATTACCCAACATGCATACACAAATATGCCTTACAACCATTGGGAATCCCTGTGATGTCACCCAGTCATGACTGCTAACCTAGTCAATGATCTAAAGGCTAATAAACACAACAAAGCTAGCATTTCTGTAACTCTTACATTGGTTGCTGGACAAATTTTAAAAACTTTAGCTTTTAGCTTTTTATCCTCTTCATCTAGTGAGTCATTCATTCATTCTGGCATTTGATTAATCTATTTTCTCCACTGAAATGATCATTTAAAGAAAATAACAACAATAATACAACTGCAATAAGACATGCCGCTTCCTAGCAGTAACGTTAGTTATCTGCCTCCTTTCTGTATTCACCAGCTAATGAAGAAAAAATACTCCTTAAAATCCACCGCAAAGACATTTTTCAAAAGCTCCTCCCACCTGCTAGATACACTATATGGAAAAAGTATTGGGACACCCCTCCTATTTATTGAGATCTATCTGACTGCATTGTGCCGACTGTAACATTTGGTAGAGGAGGGATAATGCTATGGGATTGTTTTTCAGGGGTTGGCCTAGACCCCTTAGTTCCAGTGAAGGGAAATCTTAATGCTTCAGCAAACCAAGACATTTTGGACAATTGCATGCTTCCATCTTTGTGGGAACAGTTTGGGGAAGAACCTTTACTGTTCCAGCATGACTGAGCCCAAGTGCACAAAGCAAGGTCCATAAAGTCATGGCTGGTTGAGTTTGGCGTGGAAGAACTTGACTGGCCCGCACAGAGTCCTGACCTCAACCCCATCAAACACCTTTGGGGTGAATCAGAACAGAGATTGTGAGCCTCACCACCAGTGTCTGACCTCACAGATGCTCTTCTTTCACCAAAATTTTGTAGAAAGCTTCCCAGAAGAGTGGAAGCTGTTATAGCTGCAAAGGGGGAACCAACTCCATATTAATGCCTATGGATTTAGAATGGGATGTCATGAAAGCTTCTGTAGGTGTAATGTGTAGGTGTCCCAATACTTTTGTCCATATGGTGTAGGGGCTAGACCTTAAACCATAAAACTCTAGGGAGAACTGCAGCTCTGCATTAGGATGCGAGTAAGTATGTTTACAACAGATGTATGCAGATATATTTTTTATTTTGTCCAGAGTGTCCCTATAAATAATATGATGAATCATGCTTAATCTATATTCATGAGGTTTATTTTAATGGTTCTTGGCTTTGATGTATGGATTTAGAAAAAACCTTAAAAAAAAAAACATTTACAACAATGATTTGTCAAAGAATTATTAATTTTTAAGGTCCTTTAAGGAACCAAAAGTGTTCTTCTATTGCTGTAAAGTCTTTTAGGATTTTTTTAAGAGTATATATGTACACAGTATAGTTTAAGATATTTATGCTTCATGAATTCACAATCAACTTGACATATGCTATATGTGATTAAAAGTTGAGGCCGTTACTCATAAATGACCTACTACCTAGGAATGAAGCAGAGCCAGAGGAAGGCTGCTTTCACACCTCACATGGCATTGATTTCCAGCCAGCTCCGCTGTAGCTCCTGCCTCTAGCACCTCGCACGCCTCTCCTGGGGTTATGCCTATTCACAGACCCAATTTCAGCAAGATGGATCCAACGTCAGCCTGACCCGGACACGCCTGGGCCTGTGCTGTGGATGTATAGGGAGAGTAAATCTCTCTTTTTTCATTTCTCCCTCTCCTCCTCTCGCCTGCTCTCCCTCACTTTCTTCTACAAATGAAGTCAGTAGGAAGCCGTATGCAGTCAGCTGTCTGTGCAGTGGAGCTCCCCTGAGAAAGCGAGAGCTCCACTGAGCAGAGCAGAGCAGAGCTACAGCAGCCTTAGCACTCAGTGCAGAAATCAGGAGGCACAGGGAGGCAGAGATAGAATTAAATAGGGCAAAGCCTGGACAGATCATCGGAGAATGCATCTGAAAGCTTGTCCAACAAGGACACATAGTGTCGCTGGTGCATACCACTCTTCCATAAGACCTCCATTTGCTTTTTTTTCTGTCTGTGGTCATCTCCATGACCTGATTACAGTATCATAACGGGGGACCCCCGTTCAGATCAGGTGTACCCGCCTAACCCAAAAAATATATATCCTGTTTGGTTTCTCCATAGATGTACATTCAAAATTATCTTTTTCTTTTAAAATAATTTGGTTTCCAAATGACTTGTTTTATTATACATATACATTTCTACAGTTATAAATATATAGTTATATCCTTTGTCCAGGTCCTGTAATACCTTCTTTACTGTAGCTCTGATCATTGAATGTTTCTCAGCAGTAAACAGTTGTCGCTATGTATCAGTAACAGCACTGAGTAACCCTGCATTTTCAGGGTATGTTTTAGACGCTGCACCTCATATACATGCCGTGTATACATGCATGTATTTATAAGATCCTGCTGGTGTGTGTTCATGCCAGTGTTCTCCCTTTCAGTGATGCGCACAAACCTACTTGAACTCTTATAGCTCCCCTTGTGGAGAAACATTATTTCTTCTGAGTGTGAGTGAGTTAGTAAGCTAGTTAGCTCAGTGCTTTGCATCTAAAAACTTGTGTGTGTGATTATGTAGTACTTATTTTCTTTTTTCTTGCTCTTTTGTTTTCCTAGTACAAGGGACAGGCCAACTTGCACGTGTTTGAGGACTGGTGTGGGTCATCTGTGTCTCAGCTCAGGAAGAACCTTCACTTCCCTCTGTACCCACATGTAAGTATATTAGCTCAGTAAACCTAAATATTGTGTCTGAGTGAGTGAGCCTTTTTGTATGTGTGCTTATGTAGTGAGCTGTGTGTTTAAACAGCAGTGCCATAATCAAGTTACTTGTCCTCAAATCCAAGTCAAGTTCCAAGTCAGCAGCTCTGAAGTCTAAATCACGGTCTAAATCATGAAAGTCCAGTAGGGCTGTCCCAAATACCATATTTTGGGCTCCAGAGCTTCAGAAGTAATCAACAGTGAAGATTCAAATATCGGAGGGAGTGGGCTGGAGCTCGAGAAAGTCATTCAAAAAATCCGTGTCCGACGCCTGTGGAACACATCCATAGCTTTATCTGCTGTAAAATCTGAATCTCCAGAGTGCTGTGGTGCTTCTCGCTCCATCTATCAGGCCTGCTAGCCTCTCTTAGCAGCGGGCTAGAGGGTAATAGCACAGTGCATGCATGGGTTAACCAGCACTTCAACAAGGTAGTCTAGCTTGAGGTACAAAGGGCGCACATCACGGCCCTAGCAAAAGTCCAATACGTTGGGACTTCATTTGTAGCCACCTGGAAATATATATAGATATAGACTGTCTGTCTATGCTGTCTAGCACCACGTTAGCATGATGTTCACTGAGTGAGCGGGATGTCAGACACTCGAGCTGACATGATATATATTTACACATTTTAACAGTGTGACAAAAAAGTATAAATATAGTGCAAGAATGTGATGACAACGCCACGTTGTAAGTAATTAAATTTTTTTCAAGAAGAAATGTATATTTTTTAGGTTCATTTGTATGAAGATTTCTCTGTTGAAGAGCTTGAATATGAGAGGAGTGGTGGGTTTTCCAAAGTAGAGCAGAGGTCTATGTTTGTAGCTGTTAGTGCTGGAGAGGCTGTGTTTCTTCTTACCATGTTCGGTGCTGTTTTGATAGCTTACATTTAGCAGAACGAAAGAAAAAAAATAATATCCCACTTTCAAACTTAAAAACCGAGTACCTATCCAACAAATGAATATCTGAATATTTGAAGTCCAAATCAAGCCCCCAAGTTCAAGTCAAAATTGAGTCTCAAGACACAGGTGAGTCCAAAGCTGGGTCCGAAACTGCCCTATTCACTATATAGTGCACTATTTTGGGCTTCCGCTATTTTGTAGTAATGTCCAAAAACAAAGAGCAGAAGAAACGGTGCACTCCAGTAATCCCACAATGCGCTACTAAGTAGTGTTCAACCAGTGTACCCTAATGGAAAATATATATATGTGTACCCATAATGTACAGTGTTTTTTTAAGTAATAAGCAAACCTGTATAGCTTTAGTGTTTATTACCATCACAAATTCTGCTCCCTATAATATTGTTCTATATAGTGAAGCAGATTTTTAAAGGTAGGGTGTAGTGACTGGGGACTATTTCAGACACGGCAGAAGTCATAAAGTTCTTAACTCAAGTTGGAAGGCCAGGTCTAGACTGCTACAATGCTGGTAAAGGGCACAACCATGAACCAACTAGTGAGCCTTTCAGGATGATGGTGCTTCTTTGCCTGTTTTAAAATTTAACTGCATACTCACTATGCAAATAATGCGACCCCTCAGGCTGAGTTGTGTGTGTACAGTGCAAATTGAGACCCCTGGGCTTCTCACCTCTGTGTTGTGTGGCTATTATTTAGTCATAGCTCTCATTTACTGGCTGTTGTGATGGGAGCAGACTGATTTGAAGGCGTAAGTATGTGCGTAAGGGGGCATTGGTTGGGGCTAAGAATAGAACCAGAAGGTAACATTTTATGTGACATTTTGCCTTGCAGGCCAGAACCACGGTGAAGAAACTGGCTGTGGCTCCAAAGTGGAAGAATTATGGCCTGCGGATCTTCGGTTTTATTCATCCTTATAAAGATGGTTAGTTAGTACCGACTTACATCGATAACACTTTATTTGAAGGCTACCTACATAGGCATAACATAATACATAAACACTGAATAACATATTTATGAAGCAATGTTTGAGTGTTTATGACCAGCTTATGATATAAACAGCAAGATGATATCAGTTCTATGAAGTGAATGACATTGCATTAACATATGGGACCTTAAACTAAAGTGTGACTGACATTTGTTCCATTTATTACCCTGTTATGAAGCATCATTCCCATGTAAATGTGACATAACATTCCAGACCGATATAGGATTTTTATGACCAATACTGATTTCAATATTTGAGGATTTAAAAATCTGATGTATCCGTTTTATTGGCCGATATATACATATATAACATGACATAATCCTTAATCTTTGCAAGGTATTAGTATTTTAGATGTTATAGTGAACATGGTGCGTTACTCATAACTATACCGGAACTATAGACGTGCATAATGTCTCACAGAATATCAGTGCTCACTGAGCTCTAACAAAATAGTGCCAATGCAGCACTTGCAGTACACATTTGAAAGAGAAGCTAAATTACTTTGTTCGGCTACCAAGCCATGTTACGTACTTGTTCAGCACACGTTTATTTGCATGTTCCCTCTGGTTTAATAACTTTCAGCTACTACAATGACTACAGACATGCAAGCCATTGCTTCGTTTAGGCACAAGGCTGAAGTTGGCTTTCTATTCACCTGCCTCTTGTTCGAATTTTCCTGTTCCTCCTTAAATTGTGCAGCAGTGCTCCAAATGCCTCAGGCACCAGAATGTAACTGCTACACCATTTAAGGTGGAGCAGGAAACTTCAAACAAGAAGCTGGCGAATAAGAAGCTGACTTCAGCTTCGTCATTTAGGCAGAATAAGTTAAATGCTATTGTTTAACTGCTCTATTTTGTTTTCCATTGATAAACATAGCATTAGTTAGCTTTGTGGGTAACCTAAAATAGCACTGAACAGTGCTATAAGCTGCTGTAAGCAATGTTGCCAGAGAATTTTAGAAGTAACAAGCTAGGGAGGAAGGATAGGACCACTGTTTATTTACTAGCTAGAGCTGCCACATTGTTTCATAAATAAATCTACAATCAAATTTGTCTACAGCTTAACCTACATCACTCAACTCCTGTAACGTTAAACGTTAATGTTACCGCATCAAAAGCAGCCATTTAATTGTCATTTATTTGGCATTTATAACCACTGATATCGATTTATCTTAAATGGGCTCATATTGGCAGATAATATTGGTACATCAATTTATCGGTCAGGCTCTATTCCCAGATAATAGAACTTACTAATAGAAATACTCATGCATTGTTTTTAGATACATTATTCAATGCCTATGCGTGTGTTATGACATCTTTATGTAGGTAGCCCTAAAATAAAGTGTCACCCTTCTTCTTTACATCTCTTCTTTTTTCTCACACACAAACATGTTTGGGTTCTTACATTTAGGTTCTCACAGTCTCTCACCTTTAACAGATGTTACCTGCATTACTCCCAGCTGAGAGTTTTACTTTATTCTTCACTACTTTCACTACCTTAAATATTTTTTTTATTTTGGCATGCTGGGGTCACCAGCACTGGGGTCCACGAGGCCCATGCTCATGCTCGTGAGCAAACATAAGCAGTGAATTGATTCAGGGAAGATTAGTGCAGCCAAAAAACATTTGATTTGCTTGGTCAAAAATAATTTAATGTTATATGTTTCAGACTCAAAACATGAGGTTTGGTCAGGTCAGGTTCAGACTGAATTTTGTTAGACTCAGGTCTCGAGCTGTATTGGGCTTTGGACCAAAATTTCAGGCCTGATTTCAGGCTTTAATAGACATTCATTGAGGGCTGCTGTGGGCTGTTCTTACAGAGAAACACTGTGTTCTGAAGGGCAAGTTTGAGAGTTAAGGTAAGAGGCTTAAACAGAGTGATAGCTGAAAGAAAATGGAAGAAGCACTGTCACCTCAGCACACACTTACAGTGTGCACTGTCTACAAACTCACACACTCAGAGCAGGGCTGATTGAGAAACTGCTGATGTAAGGAGAACTACCAGTAAGCCATTATGGCTCTGTATGTCTGTGTGCATCTGTGTGGTCAATAGGAGACTGTATTTAGAAGAACACAGATGAAGAGCCACCCAATGGTTGTTTCAAAATCTGTGTTTGTGTGGAGTTGTTTTTGTACTTTTTTCAGAAAAAGAATATCCTGACTACTCTCTGAACAACTGATACTGAACTTCAGATGATACGTTAGCACAGTGCGAGACTGTTCAGTACAGAGACCTGCCGTTACAGTCAGGAAAAAAGATAAAAAAGAAGAACATTTGCAGCTGAAACAAAGAAACTGCTGGTGTTCTCAGAACAATGGACTGACCACATCAGAGTCCAGACTTCAACATCACGGAATGTGTTTGGGATTACTTCAAGCATAAAAAAAAACAGAAAAATATCCCTGCAGATTTCTTGAAAGCAAGTTTCCCAAAAAAATGCTCTTAGACCTTTACACAGTACCGCATTTGTTAACTTATTATTTCAGATTTAATAAACTCAAAACCATTCAAGGAAACTTAGTCACTATTATGACAATGTATTGAGATGCTGATTTATCGTTCCATACATACAACCATACATAAAATTTCATAACTACCCACATCATAAGTATAGTGTGAAAGAAGGGAGTGGGCTATTATTACCCTGTTTATTGTTTTGTTAAATGTTTTTGTCTGTCTGTCCTGTCATGTCCAGTTTGTCTATATATATGTGACATGTGACATGTTAGTATTATCACATATTTATCACTTCATATCTAATCTTTCTTGCAGGAGATTTCCAGTTTGCTATAGCCTCTGATGATAACTCTGAACTGTGGCTGAGCTCTGATGAAAACCCCCTCAATGCCAGGCTTTTGGTCTATGTGGGACGGGTGGGTACTGAACATTTTACAAACTTTTATTACCTCTTAAATACCTGGCTGTTTTCCAACTGATTGTGCATGTCATTAGCAACCTTGTGAGCTTTGTAATAAATACTATCAGTAAGTTTTCCCCATTAAAACCCCTTAGCTAGAGAGTTGCACAAAAAGAACTTAAGTGTAGCTTCACATGCGCCTTAGCAAAACCATAAAGTCTGCTGCTGAAGGAACTCTATTTGGTTTTAATAGAGCATGACAGAACGATAATGGTGATGACCTATACATTGGCAAAATGAACAATTAAATTAAACACTCATAATGTAAATTAAACACTTCATTAATTTCCTTATTTGAGAGAAATCTGACCTTTGAGGCATCATCTTAAAGAAATAAACTAAATGTTTCATGAAAATGATTCTAGAAACTGTCATTATAGAGTAAAACTCTCAAAGTATTAAAGTGACAATAACAAAACCTGGATAACATCAAATATATTTTGTTATATTTTGATCATTTGTTTTTCACTGAAAAAAAAATGCACATGGTAGAGGGAAATGGGAAATTAAGTCATAGGTCACTAGTGACCCGAGGTGTTCATCTAAGGGCTAACCTTTCAACAAATAGCTATTTTCATGCACTGCTGCAGTCATTTTATGGATTTTTCTTTTTAGACAATACTGACAATCCATTTCTTCAGTGTGGTCCCGCAGGGAGCTCTGTTTGATGCTGAGTAGAACCATTCCTCTCTAAAAAAAGCTGCCAAGGAGTGGTTCTGTGTTCTTTCTTTATCCAAAAGTGCCACATTTTGTGTCATCAAGTCTTTTATCACAGTATGAGTACACAGAAAGGATATAGTACAATCATAATGTGGTATATTAGAACATATATCCCTCATCTTCCATGTCTTACAATACTTCTCATTATAGGCTTGTATACACCGATCAGGCATAACATTATGACCACCTCCTTGTTTCTACGCTCATTGTCCATTTTATCAGCTCCACTTACTATATAGGTGCACTTTGTAGTTCTACAATTACAGACTTTGATAGCCCCCTTTTACCCTGTTCCTCAGTGGTCAGGACCCCCATGGACCCTCACAGAGCAGGTACTATTTGGGTGGTAGATCATTCTCAGCACTGCAGTAACACTGATGTGGTGGTGGTGTGTTAGTGTGTGTTGTGCTTGTACGAGTGGATCAGACACAGCAGTGCTGCTGGAGTTTTTAAACACTGTGTCCACTCACTGTCCACTCTATTAGACACTCCTACCTTGTCAGTCCACCTTGTAGATGTAAAGTCAGAGACGATAGCTCATCTGCTGCAGCACAGTTTGTGTTGGTCATCCTCTAGTTCTTAATCAGTGGTCACAGGACGCTGCCCACAGGACACTGTTGGCTTGATATTTTTGGTTGGTGGACTATTCTCAGTCCAGCAGTGACACTGAGGTGTGTACCAAAATACCCACACGAAAATATGATATATGACGCTATATGGATTTCAAATATAACATATATGGATAAATGGATTTCTCTTTATCCAACTTATATTTGTCACATATGGTCATTTATGTGACATATCTGCCAACTTATTTGACACTTATTTGAAACTGGCCAATATGGGACATATATTTCAGCCACACAATAACTTGGTTAATATCTAGATTGCATGGAATGTGATGTAAATGATAATAAAATCATAATACGACCAATCATGTGTTTCAGTTTTAGTTTCCATAACTACAAAACATTACAGTAAGCAGCAGGTACCAGTGGACTGAAGAAGAAAATAAAATGCACCTTTATCTAATAAAAAAGCTGAAATTAGACAGCTGCCTCTGATTAATGGACACCTTTTCTGAGCCATTATGTTTGTTCTGTCAGCAGTCTTATGATGTAAAATACAGCCATAAAATTAAACACAACAGCAACAAAAAGCATGAAAGATTTCTCAGAAGTGTTGGTCCCCCTTTATTTGAATAGCCCATAATAGATGATATGTAGTAATGTAATCTCAAGCTATTGGATGAAACTCAACAGTTGATCATTAACAGTATTAGGATTAGTGTATGGGTTAAGATAAGGGTGAGGGTTAGGTTTAGGTTAGTGTTAGGGCCAGGTTTAGGTTTAGAAAAATAAGCTGCATTTAATAGATACTTGGTTGAATGCATATTCATGCAAGATAAGCATCTATAAAACATCTACACTGGGCCATCCAAACAAAGTGTTTCCAAAGTGTTTTTACGAATATGACGTGGAGAGTTTTATTCTCATGTACAGAGCTGATGAAAACTCTGCCTACACACTCAAAAAAATGGTCCTTAAAGCATTCTTTAGTAAAGGCAATGGTTATATTTAGTATCGTGAGTTTTATATAGACTTATTTTATGTTTAACCCCTTATAGTCCCAGGCTTATTACCTACAAAGCCTTATTATTCAGTAACTACAGGGACTTCAATGCAAACTGGTTGAGCTATTCTTAAGTTATAGAAGTGTGTAATAAAACTTTGGGCCATTTAAGGGGTTAAATCAAAAATTCTTTTCATGGTGAAATGGTTCATCAGATTGATGGAGAATGTGTTGTATATGGTTTTTGAAAATGGTTCTGCTATTGTTACGATGTCAAGCTTGTAATAAAAGAAGAAAACCCTTTTTGGTGCTATATAGAACCATTTTCAAAAAGGTTCTATATACAACCATATTCACATTTTGCAGCATTTCATTCTTCGCTTGAATGTAATCTGACAGCTGGATGCAAACTTGGCGACAGACTGAAGATTTTGATCATTACTCTGCAGTCCCTCTCCATCAGTTCAGCCTCTGACTGGAAACAGCCTCTTACTTTCATTTTCTGATGTGCCAATGGCTGTGAGCAAACAGCAGCTTCTGTGTGCAGCCAGTGTGAGTGAAGACAGCAGTGAGGATGGGGATGAGGCAGTGGGAGTTTTTCAGCTGCAGAAAGTCTGCTCTTTCACTGATGCTTATTTTACCCTTGTGTGGTGTTGATGTTTTTGTTACTCAGTGGTCTGGTGGACCCACCACATCATTGTAAATCAATAATGCCATAACAATTTATGTAAAAATACCAGATGTTTAAAATATCACAAGTGGCCAATGTAGGGTTCTTCTTTAGCAGCTGTAGCCAGTCAGCAGCCTGTCCATGTTGTCCACCCTCACACACACACACACACACTAACAGCAGGCCATGAGGAGAACAGAGTGAAGGACACAGCACCTCCACACTTTTATTCCCTGCAGGTTCACCCCAACACCACATGTGTAATATAAATGTGTGAACAGAGTGAAGACATTGAAAATGTGTTATTTTATATGTTCTTCACAGAAAATGAACAAAGGCCAAGGAATCTTAGGTTGAAATAATAATAAATTGCATAATTTTTACTTTTGGCAACCGTTGAACATGAAAATGGACCTGAACACCACACAAGGGTTAACCATGTCCCATTAAGTGTTTCTCAGGTGCTCTTACAGGAACATTTCTGTGTTTATATTGGTGAAAATATTGTGTAACTAGTGTAAGCTATGTTGAGAAGCAGCTAAGTGCCAGCATGTGATCTCTCTCTCTCTGCAGCACGGCTCTGAATGGACGGCTCCGGGTGAATTCACCAAGTTCAGATCCCAGACTTCTAAATCCATCCAGTAAGTACCACAACTAAGTGATGTAGACTTTGACTGCATGATAAATCATATTCTTTCACATCATCGCAGCATGAGTTTCTGTGATAAACACATCATTAGAGGCTGTCACTGGGGTGGTACCCTCAGGGGTACAGTCAAATACAAAAGTTTGGGCACTCCACTGGTCAGAAAGTGAAAATATCTTAACACATCCTCTACAGAGAACACAATTCTGTACATTTTAATGCACAATTACTGTTTATTTCTTGAATTTAACACATTGAAAAAAAAAAATAAAGCCAAAAGTGGCCTGTGCAAAAGGTATGGCACATTTTTTGTGTTGTATGTTTTTTTTTTGTTTGTTTGTTTTTTCAGTAGAAATTCAGTAATAAATAGACATTACATGCTAATATTTGCAGAAAAATGCCATATTTGTGTTGACTTATTTTCACTTAGACAATCAACAAAGCATGTCATTCGACCGGGTGAATTCAAACTTTTGCATATGAACATCAACCAACCCATATTAAAAATTATTTAAAAAATTAAAAGAATGTATAAAAAAAACACTGATTTCATTTTCATATTGCTCATTTATCGCTCTTCTCTTTTATTCATTATTAGCAATCTTCACATTGTTAACTGAACCATTCTTTTAAATAAAAAAGGGAAAAAGCTACTCTTTTGGTAGGAAGGCTTTGATTAAGCTGCTTCGAAATTATGTTCATAACTGTTGTCATCTGCTGGGAGTTAAGTTCATTCTGTGCTGGTGTGAGTTTATATTAATGAAAGAGGAAGCAGTGGAGCAGATTACTTTGGAGAAGTTTTGGGACTGATTTGGTTGTCTCTGCTCCTCTAGATGAACTCTTCCCTCTCGGCTCTCTCTCCCGGCTCTAATTTTGTCATTCTTCACTGCTTTCAATTTAGCGGGAGATCAGATGATGCGGATCCTTCACTCACCATCGTTAATTTTTAATTTCTGATCCCCAGATGGAGACCTCAAAGCTGTGAAATCCACCAGGAGACACACACACAGACACACAAGTGCACAAACAAAGAGTGTGTGTACACTAGAGATGGAATAGTATTAAAAATCATGGAAATTATTATTCAGTTTCCTGTCATGGACTGAACTTATTATTGTCTGTATTATTGAGCTAATGTTTAAAAAGCACTAATATGCATTTAAATCATTTCACCACAGGAATTATGTTAATAGGCCTTTAATAGAACCTATTTCTTTATAACACCAAAAAATCAACTGTCAAAACTCCTTTTACCATGATTTGGCAACTTAGCAAAAACATTTCATATTACATACACTATGGGGCAGATTTACTAAAAGAGGCATTAACTAATGACAGTCAGCTGACACTGTGTGCTGGTGGGGTGGCCAATTTAGCTACTTATCTACTAAGAATTTCCATGCAAATTAACTTAATAAGGTGTGACTTATTAATTAACATATGGCCAGTCAATATAACCACATGCTTTTTGCTTTTTATGAATGCCCATTTATACCAGGTAGGAGGAAAAAAACTTTTTTATCTGTTTCAGGTTCATACTGTGACCCATTAGATTGACTCATAAGAATTTACTGGTAAGTCAAAGTGAAAAAATGAGCTAGTACTCATGTAGAAAGTACGTGATTATGTCAACATAATTACTTTGAGAAAACAGGACATTATTTTGACATAACATCAGAAATTTGATAAAATAAGTGATTGTTTTGAGTTTCAGTTTTGATTCACATGTTCACTTTTGACTAGAGAGGAGAACATTTGACTAAACTTAGAAGTTGGAGTTGGGGGAACTTTAGTGTCTCCAAGTTGAGTGACCTAAAAAAAAGCTATGTATTTAGTTACTTTGAATTGACTTGTTATTTTTTGTGTGTAGTAAAGCAGAGATCGCAGAGCCAAAGAGTTTTAGTATGTGATTTTAATAAAACTGATAGTCTTGAAAAAATATTAGGAAATATTAGTTTAAATGCAAGGACCTTTCACATTACTTTTAGAATACTTACCCTCTAAATTAAAGTATATATTCCATCATTAACAGAAACACCATCAATGCTTGTTTATTAACTATTTAAAAATAACAGGATTCAATAAACAGCTTCACGGTGTTCAATAAACAACTTCTTTACAAACATTGCTTTACAAACACTGCTGAAGTCTTGAACTGCCTGGATAGACTGCTAAATCAATGTGATGATCAGTTATTAATCTCAGTGTTACTGAGCTCTGCTAAAGGCTGAGTATAGACTGATAAATCAATCTGATGATCAGTTATTAATCTCAGTGTTACTGAGCTCTGCTAAAGCCTGAGTAGACTGATAAATCAATGTGATGATCCGTTATTAATCTCAGTGTTACTGAGCTTTGCTAAAGGCTGAGTAGACTGATAAATCAATCTGATGATCAGTTATTAATCTCAGTGTTACTGAGCTCTGCTAAAGCCTGAGTAGACTGATAAATCAATGTGATGAGCCAGTTTTTTATCTCAGTGTTACTGACTCTTTTGAAGGATGATTGAACTGAACAGTCATCTCAGTAGTGGAGATGTTCACAAGTGATAAGATTATGGGAGCAGCAGTGGACAGAAACAGGCGATGAGAGCCAAAAAAATGTTGGAAATTGTGTAACTTCACTTCAGTAAGTTGATTTTTTTTTAATAAAACATATTAACCAAAATATTTCATAAAGAAAACTGCAAACCAGTAACAGGAAGAAGCAAATATAACCAAGGGAGGCAGAACTTTCTTTTTCAACCTTTCCCACATTGTAATAAGAAAAAGTGACGTAATTTATCACATTGTCTACCCCTTCTGTACAGAGTATGTACATGTCAAATCAGCCCACCCGTCGGGTCACTAATAGCTGAGCCTATTTCAGGCTGTTTCTTTTTTGTTTAACTCCATTTGATACACTAATACACCTCGCTGTGTACACTGCTTGACTGCGTGATATAAACAATAAGCAGTTATACTTCAGAAAACGAGCAGCCGAGGTAGTTTTCTGCCTTTACTGTGTGAAATAAATCACAGGAGACGTATTAAAATGTCATTCGTCAGAGCCGAGTGTCACATCGTACATTTTAATTGCTCTTGTCGCCCTTCTGGAGGCGACGTTGATTGCCGTGGAAGTGGAGCTTTGGTGTGAGTAGCGTGAGCCACTGAATAATTCATCAACGGAGTCAGCCTTAAAGCGAGCATGTGCACACTCTTGAATGTCTGAGTGCCGTTAAACGGCAAATATTGTTAGTGCCGCTCCTCCGGGACAGAAACACAATGGTACCCCCCCTTTACTCTGATGGAGCTGTGACAATCCCCTGGCACTGGTTCAAGCTGCAGCAGTGAGCGCTCTGGCTCGTTCTTCTTCACCTTAACAGAGTTGTTTTGAGAGTTTTATTGGACTGTATAAGAGTGCTAACATAATGGAGCAGTCAGTATAAGTTCTAAGGTGGTCAGTATTAGTTCTAAGGTGGATGAAATGGCAAGAATATAACGTCACAATATTCAGTCGTATGCAAAAGTTTGAACAACCCTGATCAAATTAACTTTTTTTGGTACATGAAAAAAGTTAATACATCTGTTACAGGGAACAAACTTAAATATGGCCTTTTTCTGCAAATTCTAGTGCACACGTTCTATTTATTTGCTGAGTTTAATTAATCACTGTTGTCAGAACAAAACCTTGTATCTTCATTTTTGTCATTTTTCAGTTTTTGACATAATTTAAAAGTACCTGTTACCCTTTACATTATATGTATATTTCATGGTGAATGGACCAAAAGAAATGTCTAAAACAAACTTGGAAAAAGTCTGGTTCCATTGACATAAAGGTAAAGTAGGTGTTTTCCTTCTCCTGTAAAGTTATGCAATATATATATATATATATATATATATATATATATATATATATATATATAGTGCACATCATACATACATATACATGCAAACATTCATATAAACATTCATATATGTGTGAGTGAGTGTGTGTGTGTATGCATGTGGGAGTGCCAAAACTTTTGCACATTTTATGTTTTGTTTTATGTTCTATTTTTCCCCCAGTAATTGTGCATTAAATATGCAAAATGTGTTCTCTGTAGAGGATATGTTAACTTATTTAATAAAGCATGTCATTTGACCAGCACCCAAATTTTACATTCAGCTGTTTAGTGCACAAACAAGATAGCAGTGTCATTTTTAAAAGTAGGCATTTTTTATTCAAATTTGGCAAAATTGAATGATATTCGAAGGAACAGGTGGAAAAAAATAATTGTAAATGAAAAAAAATAATAAGTCTGGCCCCAAAAGCTTTGTCTTTTTCAAGCCACAAAAATTGTAGCCTAAACTTCAATCAATCAGTTTCATGAGGAAAGGCTTTCATAAAGAATGCATTGTTAGTGTACTGACAGTGGTAACATGCACTGTTACATTACTGAATAAGATCATCACAGCGTATGATGTATTTTTCGTGACATGTTTCTTGCTGGGTTTTGTCAGTGTTGATTTGCACAGTTGAAGTAAAGTGTTATCAGTGATTCTTATTCCTTTATTCCGTTATTCCAAGTCCTGTAGCCTCTAACTCAGCTTTGTCACGCAACCTCTTCAGACAGAAAAATCACAATCACAAGTTTTTACTGTATCAGAGAAGAGTCTCCTCCACTCACCGTTAGTACAGCGCAGGAGCTGCAGCAAGCAATGAGCAGGAGGGCTTGTGTGAGAGAACACTGCAGGACTGTTTGCAGTGGAATACTGCTCAAATCTCTAAAATACTATACTTTGTGCACGCCCGACTCTTACTGTGTAAAATTGATGAAGCATGGCCTGCTCAGCAGTATGTTTCTGACAGTTTTGTTTTTACAGTTTTCAGTTTGAGTGAGAGAAAAACATTGCAATTAGTTAGTGCTTGAGAAATCATTCAAGATGCAAAGATATTTTCATGTTCAAATGGTTAAAATCACAGCCAACATTAGCAGCAGGTCTGGTGTAAAGTGAGCTCAAACTATACCAATTA